TCAGGTCTTAAACCTGAGGGTCAGCTCCTAAACCTGAGGGTCAGGCCCTAAACCTGAGGCTCCGGCCCTAAACCTGAGGGTGAGGCCTTAAATTTGAGTGTCAGGCCCTAAACCTGGGGGTCAGTTCCTAAACCTGGGGGTCAAGCCCTAAATCTGAGACTCAGGCCCTAAATCTAAGGGTCAGTTCCTAAACCTGGGGGTCAGTTCCTAAACGTGACGGTCAGGCCCTAAACCTGAGGGTCTCTGCAGCTGTGATTCACTCAGATATTAAAAATAAAATCAGGGTGCAGATGAGGTACCAGAGCAGAGCTGAGGCAGACCCGCTGCTTCCCAACCCCACACTGGTCCTTCCCACCACAGACTGGTTTGAAAGGAAGCTCAAGGTCCATACTAAATTTTACAGAATCACTGAAAATCATGGAATGGTTTGGGTTGGAAGGGACCTTAAGGATCATCTGATTCCAACCCCTTGCCATGGGCAGGGACACCTTCCACTGGGTGTCCACACTTCCATGGGTGTCTCTGGGTGAGCACAAGGCAGAGGAACAAGGTCAGAGCAGCAGCTGCAGCTGAATTTTTAGGTTATTCCCTTTGGAATGACAAAAATTCAAGCAGCCCCTTGTGCACGTTTGGTCACAGGCATCTGAGCCACATCTCAAGAAGGACACTGAGGGGCTGGAGCGTGTCCAGGGAAGGGTCTGGAGCAGCAGGAGTGGCTGAGGGAGCTGGAGGGGCTCAGCCTGGAGAACAGGACACCCAGGTACAACAAGTAGCACCCCTCAGAAACCTTCATCTCAGAGGTCAAAATGTCACTTGTCCCATAAAACGTTCACATTTCATCACTGGTCTCTCCCTTCCCTTTGAAACCACCTCAATAACTCTTCAAAACAGGTGATTTTAGTCTGAGAAAGTTATTTTTCTTCAATGAACAGCTGAGAATGGAATGATATTTTATTTAAAGACAAGCCTGAAGCAGAAACCTCACCCTTTTTTACTACCTCTGATGAGATCTTTGCATGAAGATGCGAGAGTAATTTTGGGCGGGGATAAAGGGGGAGTAGGAAAGAAGGCACAAGGGAAAAGACTTGAATAGGAATTCAAATTTGAAGCTCAATTTATCCCTCTAAGGCCATAAATTCAATTCTGGGCATGAAACCTCGGAAATCTAGAGGTATTTGGAAGTCATGGCCAGTTCCCAGACTTTGCAGCACCAGCCTGGGTATTACACACAGGGAGAAAATCCGACTTTTTCTTAAATAAAGTAGTGGATGCCCTAATGACCAACCACATTTCTGTGGCCCAGATACCGAACACACACATAAGCTAAAAAACCTATTAATATTTGCAGGAAATTTAGCAAATGCCACAAATCCTTTGTGACACCTCAGCAGTCAGAGTCAGCCTGTTTTACCCTGTTTTCTCCTGGTAGAAAAACCTCCTTCTTGGAGCTCACAGAACTTGGCAATTTATTTTTTTTTCCCCAGTGGAAATGTGCTCCAGCTCTGCCTCGTGACGCTCTGCTGAGACTTTCCCTGCCTTGAACCGAGAAGCTCAAAGCAAAACTCATTTGAAACACATTTTCCCCTTGCCATGGGGCCATTCCCAAAGCTCCAAACTGCTGCTGTTGTCACCTGCAGGTGACAGAGCCGGTGAAAAATGGGATTTAAACAGCAAAAGCCCCCCCCAAACCAACAAGTGTCAGCTGGGTGAAGTTTTGCTGTGAATCCTCCACATGATTTTGGCTTCAGAGGAGAAAATTCTTCCCCCTGCTGCTTCCCTGGTTGGGGTTTCTACCTCCTAAGTCACTGAGCAGAGAAGAAAGGGGATGCCCAGTGCTCTTGGAGCCCCATAAAAAGCCTTGTAGATGACATCCAAAGTGAAAAATAAAAGCAAAATCAAAGGCAGGACACCCAGGAAAGTCCTAAAAGTCTTCTGGTCCTTTCTCAAATGGTTTGTCTTTCCTATAAACTTGAATACATTGGACTTCAAATATGTTCACTTGCAGGAAAAGACCACACAGGGCCTGTCCCAGAATTCAGATTTCATGGCTGAAAGGGACTGTGTGAAGAGGGATGTGTTGATTGTTAATTGGGCCTAATTGATTCTTGAAGCCTGAGCGTCTTGGACATGGAAATATCGAGGCAGGGTTGGAAACCTCCTCTCCTGTTCAGTCAGGATCAGCCAGTTCCCTGGAGAAGTGAGGCAGGGAGGGAATTTATTCCTCCCAGTCACCAGGAGGTGCAGGGGGAAGGATGAGCAGGTGGGTGGGGATTTCTCCAGCAGCTCTGCCACTCCTCCTGTCCATGAAACCACCACTTGTCATCTTTAAAAAAGGCAAAGCTGAGAGTTCAAACAGCACAGAGCATTTACAGACTCCTACATGAGCCGTATCACAGGGGGACAAATCACTTTTATCCCCACATTGATGTTATTTTCTGCTTTCTGGGGGTGAACTGTTGTGTTTGTTTAATGGTTTGAAAAGACCTCAGTCCCCGGGGTACCCCGAGAACTTGCTCAGGTCATTGTGAATTCAGGTGAGCAGGGCAGGGTTTGGATGCACCAGAGCCTTGTTTATGGAAAAGAACCTGGATAATAAGAATTCAGGAGTTAGCTGAAGGATGAAAGAATCAAACACACTCTGCAGATCATGGAATTATGGCCTAAAAGAAAGAGGGAAGAGATGCAGCCACAAAAGCTAAAAAGAAGTGTTGATGAATTTATATGATGATGGGAAGAATTCTGCACCCCAGGGACCACAAAGATGCTGTAACCAGGTGGGAAATGGGCTCTTCTCCCAAGGAACAAGGGACAGGACAAGAGAAAATGGCCTCAAGTTGTGCCAGAGGGGGTTTAGATTGGATATCAGGGAAAATTTCTTCATGGAAAGGGTGGTCAGGCACCAGACCTGGAAGGATTTCAAAGCCCTGTGGATGTGGCACTTGGGGACATGGGTCAGTGGTGGCCTTGGCAGCGCTGGGGAATGGTTGGCTTGGATCTCAGAGGTCTTTTCCAACCCAAATGGTTCCATGGTGCAGCTCAGGTGCCTCTTTTGAGCTCCACAGCTCTTGCTGATGGTCCCCAGCAGCTCCAATGTGTGGGAGAAAATCTGTTGCTGTGTAACTGGTCTGTGTTTGATGCTGTGAAAACTCCTGGTCTTCACCCCCCCAGCAAGATCAGGAGTTGGGAACATGCCACCCCCCTACCCTTCCCTTCAAACTCCACACATCAAATCATGCAGAGTCAGAGCTCCAGGGACATTCCACCTCTCCAGCAGCTCCTGGTTAATGTGTCATTATTTGGGTGCCACTGGGCTGTCAGCACATGCTCAAGCTCTGTTCTGCCTGCCAAAAAAAACTGGGCTAATTAAACATCTCAACAGATCAGGGAGGGGGGGAAAAATCATTTAAAAAAGGAGAGATTGAATTTAGGAAGTGGATTCCTTGGAGAGTTTGTAATGGATCTTTCTCTCTCCACCTTTTCCAAGCCTCAGCATTCGTAACTTCCCCACGTTGAGATGTTATTGTGGAGGAACTAATTCCATAATGAGATCATTCCCCTTATGACAGCCCAGGAAATGAGGCTCTCAGTCACACTCTTCCTCATCTGAGAGACTCCAGCTTCTCTCCTGATTCAGTCTCCAAAAACCAAATGACGACACCAACTATTCCCAGTGTTCGTGGGGGGTCCCATCCAAGCGCTGCACACAAAAACTCCCTTGTTTGATCTACATCCCTTCATCTGCAAGTTCCAGACTCTTCCTTTGGCTGTTTCTTGGGCTCAGCTGCTCATTCCTGAACCAGCTGCTGCCACAGAGGATCAGGAGGACCAGTGACTCAGAGACAGCACCCCCAGTCCAGGAGCAAACCACTGTTGAGTGTTTGCTCTCACCCATTTGCTTACTCCTCAATCCTCCTTTTGTGGATAAATCACCAGGGGGTCTGTCACATCCAGTTTTGGGTTTATTTTGCTCTTACTACTACTTTAAGATCAACAGAACTCGAAGGGAGACATCCCTTCAAGCCCTCCTGCATCTGGCCACCCTGAGGTTCACAGACTCTCTTCCTGGGAGTTGCTAAAAGTGTCACCAAAGTACAACTTATCTGGGCAGGAATCCAAGCCCAAATTTCACCTGGTTTGAGTTCAACCTACAGCCTATACCTAGAAGATAGATATCTTCTAGATAACTTTATATTTAGAAGCTTTTCTTTGCCTGGGTTTTGGTCTTGGGAGGAGCCCCAAGTGCAGGCACTTTGGTGGAACCTCAAGTGCTCCATGTTTGGACCTGATGACCTTGGAGGTCATTTCCAACCTTAATCATCCTCTGATTCTCTGGTTCCACGTCCCTCTGAACAACTAGGAGAAAGTAAACATTCCAATCAACACCTGGATGTGTTGGAACTCGGTGCTCATCCCACAGCGGGACTTTTGGGAAGAGCTCCCTCTGCTTCACGTGGACACCAAAACAACAGCAAACCCTACAACAACAAGCCCACCACGGGGCTCTGTGCTCACCTGGCAAAGTCCAGGTCGGCCTCCCGGGACATGGTGATGTTGGTCAGGTTCTGCTGGAGAATGAAGATGTTCCGACACATCTTCTTGATGCCGGACTCGCTGATGCGCTTGAAGTAGTGGGCGCCGTTGATGAGGATGCAGGAGATGAGGTGGCCCAACCCTGCCAGGGGGAGGAGGAAAGTGTTCAGTGGCAATAATTCATCATAAAACCCAAGAATGAGCACTGTTGAGTGGATTGGAACGAGGGATAACTGGAAACAGCCCCTGTGCGTTTTAGGAGGACTTCCCTCAACGTTCCCTTCTTTAGCAAAAATACAAAACTGCCCCGAAAATCAGAATTGCACAACCTCTGATATCTCCAGGGCACTTCCAGGCTTTGCAGAATGTCCCTTTCTATCCCTCTGTCCGGGCAGAGCAATGGAGCACTGCAGCTCCTGGAAGATCAGAGTGTTTCAATCTGTTTTCAAGGGTGGTGTTTTCCCTGGAAAACTCACAGTCTCCAGGAGCAGATCCAATGCACTTGGTGCACAGCCTCTCTCTGATCAGTCTGGAACAGTTTCTCGTGTCTGAGGGATGTCCCTGCTGCTTGAGGACACAGCTGGGTGCTGACAGTCACAGCCACCCCCAAAATGATGGATCCATTCCTGTCACATCACAGCCATTCACGTCACATCAGAAAGAGCAAAAAGCTCAGCCTGATTCCCTCAGTGCAGAGGTCTGGACAAGCCCAGATGCCAATTAAAAGACTGAATTAAGAAAATAACTCTATAAGTCTGAATTAAGAAAATAACTGTGAAGTGGAACAAGGGATAACTGGAAACAGCCCTCAGGATCTTCCCTGTGAGTTTTAGGAGGACTTCCCTCAATGCTCCCTTCTTTAGTAAAAATACAAAACTGCCCCAAAAATCAGAATTGCACAACCTCTGATATCTCCAGGGCACTTCCAGGCTTTGCAGAATGTCCCTCTCCATCCCTCTGTCTGGGCAGAGCAATGGAGTACTGCAGCTCCTGGAAGATCAGAGTGTTTCAATCTGTTTTCAAGGGTGGTGTTTTCCCTGGAAAACTCACAGTCTCCAGGAGCAGATCCAATGCACTTGGTGCACAACCTCTCTCTGATCAGTCTGGAACAGTTTCTCGTGTCTGAGGGATGTCCCTGCTGGGACATCAAGGACACAGGTGGGTGCTGAAAGTCACAGCCACCCCCAAAATGATGGATCCATTCCTGTCACATCACAACCACTTGTGTCACATCAGGAAGAGCAAAAAGCTCAGCCTGATTCCCTCAGTGCAGAGGCCTGGACAAGCCCAGATGCCAATTAAAAGTCTGAATTAAGAATAATTCATTATTACAGCCAGCATGGGGTGTATGTAAACCCGAAAACTGGGCTTAAGAGGTGCCTGTGTATGATGAGCACGTGTAGGAATTTCAACCTCACGACTCAGCAGGATGGGAATGGTCTCCGTGGCTCTGTGTGAAGATGTTTCCCTCTCCTCACACAGACATGGGACACCTGAGTTGTTGGAGGGGCTCTACAACGTGATGGTGACGTGTTTGCCACAGAGCTTGGAAAACAGCTCAGTAAAAAATTCTCTCTCTGCAGCTACGTGGGAATGGGGGGGAATTACACACATACTGCAAGCCTTGGGATCATGGAATCACGGAAGGATTTGGATTGGAAGGGACCTTAGAGACCATCCAGTTCCAACCCTGATGCTTTCCACTGTCCCAGGTGGCTCCAAGCCCAGTCCAACTCAGCCTTGGACACTTCCAGGGATCCAGGGGCAGCCACAGATGCTCTGGGAAATCCATTCCAGCCCCTCCCCACCCTCCCAGCCAGCAAGTCCTTCCCAATATCCCATCTGCCCTCTGGCACTGGGAAGCCATTCCCTGTGTCTTGTCCCTCCATGCCTTGTCCCCAGTCCCTCTCCAGCTCTCCTGGAGCCCCTTTAGGCCCTGCAAGGGGCTCTCAGCTCTCCCTGGAGCCTTCTCCAGGGGAATATTCCCACCTCTCCCAGCCTGGCTCCAGCCCTGGGAGCAGCTCTGGGGCCTCCTCTGGACTCTGCTCCAACAGGACAACTTCTGTAGGATCAGCAGTGGCTAAAACAAGGTCAGTCAGGCTTGCCCAGCCTTCATCCCTGCCATGGATTATTTTGGACAAGGGGTGCATCTCCAGCCCCCACCTTCTGCTGGCTTTGACCAACATCAACACCCCCATGTCCCACAGCACAGCCAAGAACTGGTGTGAGAGCTCTAATAAACACAGGGGAGATGAACCAACACATGGGTTATACTCCCTGAGGCATCAGAGCAGCGGATGTTCCTTAAATTTAGTTTCAGAAACGGGATGGCTGCATTTGGGGTGGGAATTGTGGCAGAACAGAGCTGTGGGTGATACAAACACGTGTCCTGGGGCTTCCTGAGGAAAAACTGAGCTGCACTTACATCACATCACTGCTGCCCCACCAGGCATGGGGGCCTCAGTCCTGGTCAGCCAGAAATGTTATGGAGGCAACTTGGGTTTCTGAGTGCCCTGAGTTTGGAATCGTGGAATGGTTTGGGTTGGAAGGGACCTTAAGGATCATCCTGTTCCAGTCTCATGGGCAGGGACACCTTCCACTAGCCCAGGTTGCTCCAACCTGCCCAGGTTGCTCCAACCTGGCCTTGGACACTTCCAGGGATCCAGGGGCAGCCACAGTTTCTCTGGGCAACCTGTGCCAGGGCCTTCCCAACCTCTGAGTAAAGGATTTCTTCCAAAAATCTAATCTAAATCTCTCCTATTTTAGCTTAAAACCATTCCCCCTTACCCTGTCCCTCCCTGCCTTGTCCCAAGTCCCTCTCCAGCTCTCCTGGAGCCCCTTTAGGCCCTGCAAGGGGCTCTCAGCTCTCCCTGGAGCCTTCCCTTCTCCAGGTGAACCCCCCCCCAGCTCTCTCACACCATTTCCCACAGGGATCTCACTTATCCCATCAGTGCCAACAGCCCCTCAATCCGCCAAGGAACGCCGCGGAGCTTCGGGATGAGGACAAAAACCCCTTTTTTTGAAGACTCAGAGTGTTGTGGGAGGTGCCTGACCTTCAAAGATGTACTGGAACTTGTGCTGCTGGAGGCTGGCGCTCATGGCCTCCTCGATGGCGCTGATGTCCTTGTTGAGCCTCACCACCAGCGGGTCGTAGTCCATGCTCTCCACGTTGGCCACGATGGCATAGTTCCCCTGCTTGGCCAGAGGGATCAGGTAGTGGAAGCAGTGAACCCTGCAAAGAAAAGGGAATTATCACTCTGGAAAAAAACAGCCGTGGGTTTGCAAAGCGTCGCTTCTTTGTTTTCCTTCCTGTGTTAAAAAAATAACGGCTTTATTTAAAAAAACTTTTTAAAAAATAACGCCTTTATTTAAAAAGCTTTGTTTAAAAATGTATTTAAAGGTAACCAACTTTAAGAATTGGGTGGTTATGCCTGAATTAAGCACAACACCCTCCTCTTGTCGTTGTCCCACCTTGAGAGGTGGAGACAACGGAGCCTCTGCTGCAAATCCAACTTTCCTCATCCCAGTGTCCTTTCCCAACCTCACACCAGCACTTCCATACTGATGCTCCCACAACAACTCCTCCTGCATACCTTGAAGGCCCCACAAGTGGCAGAATGAACAAGCCAGGGGACATGAAATGACAATTAACAAGCCAAGGTTGTGCCTATTCCCAAGTGTTCAACACTATTCCAAGTCTTTCCCGTTCATCTACCCAGTAGGGCTGGAGGTACCGTGCCCTAAATCATCCCTCCACTGAAGGAGGAATTCTGTGCAGTTCAATCACCCCTCAGTGTTCTGGAAAAAACCTGGAGTTAAGTTATTTCAATCAAAACTATCAGGGAAAGTGCTGTGTCAGCAAAATCCTGCAACTCTTGGGTTTCACCCGCAGCGTTCAGTGGGGACAGGGTTGGGTTCTTCTTCCACCAGGGAAGGTTCAGGTTGGGTATTAGGGATAATTTCTTCCTGGAAAGGGTTGCCCAGGGCAGTGGGGGAGTCCCCATCTCTGTAGGGATTGAAAAAAATGTGGCACTTGGAGACACGGGTCAGTGGTGGCCTCGGCAGTGCTGAGGGAATGGTTGGATTTCATGATCTTAAAGGTCTTTTCCGACCTGAAAGACTCCAAGATTCTCTCATTCTCAAATTCATCTGCCAGGGGGGACAGAGCCAAATGCCAGCCTGGGTGAAATATCCCTGGAATTCAAAGCCTAACTCAGGATCAGCATGTTGAGGCAGGAAGGTCACACCACAAACAGTGGGTTGCTTTTTTGGGGGGTGTGAGAAGCTGTGAGGGATATTTTCCCTGGAAAATGTCCTGGATGTGGCCATGACAAGCAATTTCAATTTAGGGCAATTCCAAGAAGAAAAGCATCTGTTTATTCTCTTCAGTGTCTGCTCCTGTGTAATTCCATAACAGACATTAAATAGCCTAAAATTCCATGTTGAATTGCCCCTGGCTGGCAAAGCTGGGAAGGAACGGGAACTCTGAGGGAAGAGAAAGTCGAGGGATAACTGGGTCATCCTAAATCCACTTCGCTCTTTCCTGGGGTTCCTTAAACTGCACCTGCAGCAGCAGGAGGTGGGATAAATTCCCAGATTCTTCACAAAGTGCCTCCTGAAAGCACAGGGATCCTGGGAGTGGATCCACACTGTGCTGGGCACCTTGGAATGGCACAGATCCAGGGTGGGAATGGTCTCCTTGGCTCTGTGTGGAGTCATTTCCCTCTCCTTGGACAGTCAGGGTGTGGGAATGGTGGAGAATCCCAGAACAGGCACAAAGAGACTGGGATTTTTCCCTCTCACTGCAGACTGATGGATACAGGGAAACTCCCTCCAGTCTGGGGGTTTTCCTGCTTGTTGGCATCCCTGTTTTCCTGGATTTTTGCTTAATCCAAGAGTGGTGAGAAGCCACAGGGGCCAGAACCCCATCGGGGCCGGTGCCCATTCCATGAATCCAGGTTATCTCAGGCCTCCTCTCCCATTACAGCCCAGCTGGAGAACTGCTCCATGTCCATCCTTCTCCCAGTCTTTCCCTCCAATCCTTGCCTGCAATCCCAAGCCCAGCAGATGATGGATGGCAGGTTGAAGGGGTGGGAGAAATTCCCAGGCTCTTCACAAAGTGCCTGCTGAAAGCACAGGGATCCTGGGAGTGGATCCACACTGTGTTGGGCACCTTGGAATGGCACAGATCCAGGGTGGGAATGGTCCCCATGGCTCTGTGTGGAGTCATTTCCCTCTCCTTTAACAGACAGGGTGTAGGAATGGTGGAGAATCCCAGAACAGGCACAAAGAGACTGGGATTTTTCCCTCTCACTGCAGACTGATGGATACAGGGAACTTCCCTCTCTCTGGGGGTTTTCCTGCTTGTTGGCATTCCCTGTTTTCCTGGATTTTTGCTTAACCCAAGAGCTGTAAGAAGCCACAGGGGCCAGAATTCCATCCAGGTCTGTGCCCATTCCATGAATCCAGGTTATCTCAGGCCTCCTCTCCCATTACAGCCCAGCTGGAGAACTGCTCCCTTTCCATCCTTTTCCCAGTCTTTCCCTCCAATCCTTGCCTGCAATCCCGAGCCCAGCAGATGATGGATGGCAGGTTGAAGGGCTGCTGACAATAACTAATGTGGATTTTTTTTTTGCAGAGCTCCACCCTGACTCCCCCAGAGCTCTGCCTGCGTGCACAGGGACACAACACGGCTCAGGACGTGTCACAGGAGAACAAACTGATGATCCATCAATTCTGTGACATCTATTTGATGCTTCAGAGGAAAAAGGGAAGCAACGAAAATCCACCTGTCCCATACAATGCACCAGGGAAAAGCGTCTTCCCAGCCCCAGAGTGGACAGCTGGCAGCCTGAAGAAAGGCATTTGCTGCCTTTGATCTCTGTATGGGAAGGCAGAGACTTCATGGAATTCTCCTCAGCCCTTTAAAAAAAATCCAGCTGGCTCCCCAGTTCCTGTTGCTGTTTGAAAAAGTAGGAAGAAAAGCTGCTGTTTGTGATCCGAAGAGCGGCGGCTCCTGAATGTGGAGACACCTGGTAAAACCTTTGGCACCAACTCCCATGGGACGCTCCTGGAAAAGCTGCAGCCATGGCTTGGTCAGGGGCACTCTGGGCTGGGTGAGGAACTGGCTGAGGGCCCAGAGAGTGGTGGGGAACGGAGCTGCTTCCAGCTGGGATCCGTCCCCAGGGGTGTCCCCAGGGATCAGTGCTGGGCCCAGTCCTGTTCAGTGTCTGCACTGAGGATCTGGAGGAGGGGATGGAGGGAACCATCAGCACATTCCAGGTGACCCCAAGCTGGGGGAGTGTTGATGTGCTGGAAGGCAGGAGGGCTCTGCAGAGGGACCTGGCCAGGCTGGATCCATGGGCTGATTCCAAAGGGATGAGGTTCCCCAAGGCCAAGGGCCGGGTCCTGCCCTTTGGCCACAAGAAGCCCCTGCAGCTCCAGGCTGGGCCAGAGGGGCTGGAGAGCAGCCAGGCAGGAAGGGAGCTGGGAGTTGGGCTGGCCAGGAAGCTGAAGAGGAGCCCGAGTGTGCCCAGGGGGGCAAGAGGGCCAATGGCTGCTGGGCTGGCTGAGGAAGAGTGTGGCAGCAGGAGCAGGGCGGGGCTTGTGCCCCTGGGCTGGGCGCTGGGGAGGCCACCCCTGGAGTGCTGTGTCCAGCTCTGGGCCCTGAGCTCAGGAAGGCCCTGGAGGGGCTGGAGCAGGGGCAGAGAAGAGCAGCGAGGCTGGGGAAGGGACTGGAGCACAAGTGCTGTGAGGAGAGGCTGAGGGAGCTGGGGGGGCTCAGCCTGGAGAGGAGGAGGCTCAGGGGAGACCTCCTCACTCTCTGCAACTCCCTGACAGGAGGGGGGAGCCAGGGGGGGTCGGGCTCTGCTCCAGGGAACCAGTAGTAGGACAAGAGGGCTCGGCCTCAAGCTGGGCCAGGGCAGGGTCAGGTTGGACATCGGGAAGGAATGTTTTCCATGGAGAGTGCTCAGCCATTGGAATGGGCTGCCCAGGGAGAGGGTGGAGTCACCGTCCCTGGAGGTGTTTAAGGACAGACTGGATGTGGCATCAGTGCCATGGGCTGGGAACCATGGCCGGGTTGGATCAAGGGTTGGGCTGGATGATCTCGGAGGGCTTTTCCAACCCGGCTGATTCTGTGATTCTGTGATTCTATGATTAAAACACCCTTGCACCTTTTTATCAGCACAAAGCCCCCCCAAACCACAGTTTTCCTCATCTCTGACACATGATCATGAGTTTGGGTTGGAAGGGACCTTAAAGATCATTTAGTTCCACCCCTGCCATAGGCAGGGACAACTTCCACTATCCCAGGTTGGTTGGGATTCTGAGCAACCTGGCCTTGGACACTTCCAGGGATCCAGGGGCAGCCACAGCTTCTCTGGGTAACCTGGGCCAGGGCCTCCTCACCCTCCCAGCCAGGAATTTCTCTCTAATCTAAATCTCACTGCTGGTTAAGACACAGAACATCCTGAGCAATTCCTGCCTCCCTCACACATTTGGCCATCCCTGGTGATGTGACTGACCTTCGATGCTGCACCAGGCAACTTTACCTGTCTCTGATGCCATAATATGTACTCTGGACCCATCCTTAACCCACAGCCTCCCAGGCTCGCCCACAAATCCCAAATTTTGGGGTGTTCACCTGACTTCCAGGTGCAGAACCAGCAGGCAGCGATCGGCCATCTCCTGGAAAGACCTGGCCAGCTCACTCAGCGTTTGCAGGATCTGTTCGGATGCAGGGAGCTGTTCCATGCTGGAATGGCTGTCCTGGCCCGGAGACATGGCTGGAAAAGAGGAGACAGAACAGATTTGTGACATCCTTCAGCAGCTTCACCACCCACAGCACCTCCCATCCCAAACATGTGTGTTCTCCGCGCCTTTGGCTGAGCGATAATGGCTCTAATTTGATATTTAACATCTACTGTGAAGCACCAAAGTGCTTCTGCAATGGATTAAACTCCAAAGTGAGCCTGAAGGGGGTTTAATCAACCCCAGGATACGTTGGCTTGGGAAGATATTGCTCTGTGATGGGTATTGCTGCAGCTGTAGAATCCAGGATCATTCATCTTGCTGGAAAGAGCTGCCTGGGAGCCAAAGCACAGCTCCAACAGGTGACAGGGGCCTTTTTTTGGTCACCACAGGCTCCCCCATCCAACCTCAGGTGAGTCTTTACCTGCTCCCATCCCCTCAGAGGCACCTGGGAGGCTGTTTTTGGGGGTTTTGTTAATAAAACACAGCGAAGCAAAGGTGTGAGCTGGCCAGGGAGCAACTGCTTCCTTCCCACCGAGACCTCCAAAACACCACCTGGAATTTCTCCCAGTCCTGAGGACATTGTTCTGTCTCTGAGGGGTGTCAGTGCAACTCTGACTCTGTAACCTCACCCTTTATATTTTATCCCCTTACATTTAACCCTGAACCTCCTCCCCTGCAACCCCTCGAGTAAGGAAGGGAATTCCCTAATAGGAATAACACTCTGTTACCTCACATTCCGCCCTAAATAGAGGAAACACATCCCAAATTCCTGGATTTGAGGCCTTGCTCGAGCAGCACTTTAGGACTGACATCCTGCCTACGTGATTAGCAAGGTTTGGGATCGGGCTGGTTCCTCTTACACAGCTTCCACTCCAATTAAACAATGGGATTGCCAGGGATCTCCTGGATCAGCAAGTCCCATTCCCACAATCCCTGTGTCCCAGGGCCTGGAGTATGAACTCCTGGGCCATATTAAAGCTGGTCAGGTTCCTACCTCCTTCCAAACATCACTTCTCCAACCGGGAAGTTAAAATTTGGGATCTAATTTCCTGCCTAAAACTTCCTCATTGATGTTTTAACAGTCGGTTCTTTACATGGTAACATTCCTGGTTTCCCTATGGAGCTCTCCGTGGCTCTTTGGAGAATCACGGAATCATTAAGGCTGGAAAAGCCCCTCCAAAATCATGGAATCAAACCATTCCCCAAGGCAACCACTGACCCACGTCCCCAAGTGCCACATCCATATGAATTTTAAATCCCTCCAGGAATGGGGACTCCACCCCTGCTCTGGGCAGGACAACCCTTTCCACGAAGGAATTTTCCCAAATATCCAATCTGAACCTCCCCTGGCACAACTTTCCTTCTGTTTTGTCCCTTGGAGGCTGATTGAGGTAAATGTCACTCAGGGCTTGTTTGTACAACCTGCTTTGGGAGAAGAACCTTCACTAAGCTTTGGATTCACTCCTAATTTAATTAGGAGCAAATTTAGCAAAATTAAATTTTGCTCCTAAAGTTAAATCACATCCAGCCTGGAAAGAAAAAAAAAAGTGAGGAGGTAAAAACCCACTTTTCTTTGTGTAAAACAAATTGAAATGGAGGTAGAAATACCAGAGAGAGTTGTACAAATAAAGGAGGGTGGCAAAGCCAGAGGGAAAGGTTTCACCCAGGGAAAGATTTCACCCAAGTGCCTGAATGTCCCTCTAAATGTTCTGGGAATTCAACCAGAGAAAAGTGTGCATGGATGAAGCCATGGAAAACATGGAGAGCTGGAAGTAGGTGATCTTTGATGCCTGGAGAAGCTGTGGCTTCCCCTGGATCCATGGAAGTGTCCAAGGCCAGGATGGAGCAAGCTGGGATAGTGGAAGGTGTCCCTGCCCGTGGCAAAGAGTTGGAATTAGATGATTTTTGAGGTCTTTCCAACCCAAAGCATTCTGGGATGACCCTGTGGATTCCCCTCCTTCAGCAGCTCCTGCGGGAACACGGTGAGAAATTCAAAAACTGCTGGAAATAATTCACTGGCCTGGAGTGTGAAAGAGAAATAAAGAGGGAAATGAGAGTGACAACCCCCGGGGGAGTGGGAATGACAGGGATTCCCCCTCCCCAGCACACCCTGACACTTCTCCCAGCTTTTCTCTCTCCTCACCGAGCTCTACCCCCGCAGAGAAAATGGAATTATCAGCGAGGGGGTGATGGGATTATTTACACAACCTCTAATTTCCAGATAAGGGTGTTAAGAGATGACTCTTGGCAGCTGCTTTGGAAGAGCTGTGACATCTCCAAGTGACACTGGTTTTCCCTGGAGGGGGGGCAGGACTTTTGGCTCAGGGATCAGATCAAGGGATGCTTTTTTGGTCACGGCAGAAAGCAGGAAACCTCACCTTTATTATGCACGGGAAAAACCACCTATTTTGGACCAAAAATCCTACATTTTGAGTAGCTTTTATCAGCCTGGAGATGGACTGGCTGCAAGGATCATCTCTCTTTAGCAATGTCAGGGCTCTCGCTCCAGAGATTCCGCCCCGGAAGGCCCGGAGATGGATGGACCCATCACCTGAAAAGCAGGAGTCAGCTAATTCCTGCAGCAGGCAGATACACACACCATTTTTCTCCTCTCCAGAACTCATTTACAGCACTTTAAGTGAAGCTGTAATTATATTTGTCAGTGGAGGTGAGAGGAGGAGGAGGGAGACGGGGACGAGCTGCTCCTTATTTAAAGCCTGAAGTCCTTCTGGGTGTTCACAGGGGGGTCAGGTGGGGGCTTGGGGGGGGGATGCAGATGAATTTCTCCAGTGGATTTTTGCTTTTTGAGCTCCAAGGAAGCCTTTCAGAGCCCATCAATTTTCCTCTGGATGCCCAGGAAGGATCATTTCACAGCCCACGAGAAAAAAAATCCCCGTTTCTTTAAGTCTCGCTTGAGACGGTTTTTACTCCATCATCCCAGGCACAGAATGAGCTGGAGCAGCAAACAAAAAAAATAATCAGAGCCTGAATTATTAAGGGGTCTGGAATAAAACAATGTGATTTGGAGCTGGCTGTGGAGTTGGGCAGTTCTTTGGGCAGAGGGTGACACTGCCTGGGGCTGTTCGACCCACCGCCCCTCCGAGAAAACAGGAGAGAAGCAAAAAAACAGCAAAAAAAGCAAAAAAACCTTGAAATACCAGAAAAAAACCCCAGCAGATCAGCAGCCATCCACTTCTTCTTCCCCTTCTCCTCTTTCCTGACCCCTTTCCTCACCCTCCATCCCTAATCCAAGCTGAACATGATCCCAACTTGGCCAACACGACGACGCCCACCGGTGGGGCGAGCGGCGGCCTCGCTCTGTTGGTGTTTTTATCACCTTGAGCCTGGATTAATTTGTCTAAACTGAGTTTTCTGTGCTGCTGGATAACAAAGAATTTCTTGGAATTTCTTGGAATTTCTCCTGCCTCGCTGCAAGCACAGCCAGGTTCCCTCTCCCCGAGGGAACGGGAACGTTTCGTTCCGGCAAAGTGGAGAAAAACGAACCCAATGCCCTCGTTGCCACCCACGATTTCGATCTTTTGCTGATTCAGCACTCTCCTGATGGGCTGTGCCTTGGAAATCCATGGCTGGGAATCTCCAGAGCTCGGGAATATTAAACAAAACCTGCCTTGTTGCCCATAAACAACCCCTTGTAACCACTCGAGGGCCGTTTCCCACCGTGGACGGATCGGATCGGAGCGATGGAACGGCATGAGGAGGAGGGAAATCAATCCAAGGAGACGAGCTCTGAGCCTCAGGAATAAACCTCCACAGCGCTCCCTGCAGTTGCTTTAGGCTCACAGAGGTGTTTTACAGCTTTACTGGAGGGAAAAAACCCTCTTTTTCGGGAAAGAGAAGCTGTTTGAAACGTAAAATTAAAGGCCAGTTCACAGCTTCCTAAATTTTAATGCCTGACCCCCTTCCACTCCAGCAGAGGAAACTCCAAAATAAGTGCAAATATACACATGGAAAAGGGAATTTTTTAGGGGTTACGTGTCAGACTAAGCCTTTATAGCTCAGGATTAACTCTTCTCCCTGCTGGAGACTTTTCTGGGGATCTCACGAAGCACTTTTTTTTCTTTCTGTGCTTTAGTTCCCAGTGTGGAAAACCTGGATAATGGGCTTTTATCCATCACTCCCATTCAAGCGGACTCAAGGTCTCCACATCTCCTTTTCCTACAGTTTTTAGCACCACAAGGTGATGATGCCACTGGGAGACAAAATTACTATTCAAACACTTACAAATAAAAAGGAGAATATCTGGTTATTTATAGGAAAAAGCTTTGGTTGAAGTTGGAATAATTAGATGGGTGATTATGTGGGGTTTTTAGAGGAGATTAAAGTACAGTGAGTGCATCAAATTCAACATCAAGGGCTGATTTTGGGAAGATTTCCAAAGGAAGACACGTTCCAGGAGATCTCTGCCTTCTGAACCCAAACAGCAGGAGGAAAATACTGTATTTTTAAATACATCACTATAAAAAAACCCCACCTCTCCCTTTGTTAAGCCATGATCTGTCACTCTGGGACACTGATGAGAAAAGGAATCCCAGAATTCCCAGAATATTCTGAGTGGGAAGGGCCCCACAGATGCCACTTGGACCAATTTTTAGCTGCTGGAGCACTATTGGGAGCTCCAAGGCACAGCTCATTCACTGCCTACTCCTAAACTGGTCTAGTTTGGAGATCTCAGAGCTGTAGATTTATAGAAAAGGTCTGGAATGAACCATAAAATCTGGAACTGGGTTTTGACTCTCCCGAAGTTCACGAGATTCATCCCGGAGCTCCAGGGATTCGGGAAGCAAAGTTCAATTTTGGGGTTGATGTCTTCCTTGTGCTTCTCAGAGGGGTCAATGTTGGGACCTCCCAGATATGGCTGGATGCTTCAAATGTTTATGGATTAATTGCTGCATAATTCGACCTAAATTGGTCTTTTTTCAGAGAGTTTAAATAGAAATAAAACACTAAGAGCAACAATATCTCCCAAGACTTCCAAGATCATAGAACGGGTCGTGTCGGAAGGGACCTTGAA